GTAAATCCATGGATACACTCATAGTTGAACTACCTACCTATGTAAGCACCTAGATAACTAATGCACTTATAGTACCTACAAACCTTAGTACTAATTAATTGCAAGGCAAATATCTCCCTTGAGGTAACTTCGTTTGTAACTACTTACCTAACTTAAGGTAGCTTACCTTACCTAGGACCTATGTGCAAACGCGTTGAATGTGAAGAAGCATAAAAAAAAGCGCTTAAGCTCGGCCAATCAGATGGAGGAACAAGTAGCTGGAACCGAAACCAAATAGGTAGAGTGGGATTATTATAGGCAGGCGTAGAGGAAGATTGACAGGACATCCGGGAATAATAGCCTAGGAAAGCGGACTCGAAGCGGCCCCTTCCATGCATTCTATGCAGGGTTTGGACAGGAGCCAACCAACTTCTTCTCTCCCTAACCAGTTAGTGCACACCCTTTCCAAACATCAGATACTACCTCCGTAATGGATTAGTACCTAGCCATTGCCCTGTCAGCCCGTACCCAGCTAGCCAGTGACCCTAGGTAGGTACAACCAGGTAATCCTATCGCTTCGGAGTACTCCTTTCAACGTTCCAGACTTAACATCGTGGAGAAATATTCGCTTTGATGCGCTTTACGCGACGTCGGGAGTCGGTCATAAGCGATTATTTTTTGACATCAAAATCTACAATGCGGGCCCAAAACCTTTCGGGCACTGTAGCTTTAATATCTGGGTATTCTATGTGCAGAAACCGCCAGCCGTCGAAAGTGGACGTTGGAGATGCAGCCAGCCAGCCCAGCTTGCCAGGCACTTCAGCCTCCTTCGACTAGTATGGCTAAATAGTTAGGCTGTTGTCATAACAGCAGAGAGCACCTAGAGCCGGTAGTATTTCGCTTCTCCCGAGAAAACCGGAGACTTTTGGATTCCGCGAGCTTAAAGCTTATTGGCTCAGTGCTTCGGACCATGCTCCGAGACCCTTACTTTACATCATTCTTGACTTGCAAGTTCAAATACTAGGTCGGGATCGGTTTTACGATCGATCAAGATATCGCCAACTCAAGCTCGATACTTGGTGGAAATGGCCAAGGTGGCACAGTCTGAATAAGCCTCTGGGACCGAAACGAAAGATGCATGGCCAGAGGGGGACGCGTTACATTGAACGGGGAGCCGGTCACTCAATCCGCCACTACTCACCAATCCCAGGCTCTGAGGGATCGAGATTCTAGACCATTTGTCGAATTCCCATCCCGCTCATGGCGATTTTACCACCAGCTTTCGATTCACAATTACCGACACCACGTATGGTGGCTATCGAATGGTTTCATTGCCACTTAAATCGCTGGACGATGAATAATCCTACCTTCCACATCTCGGTCGTTGGCAGTCATTGACTTACAAAGTACAAACTACTTGTGAACTATCGCATGCCCACTAATAGCCACTATGCCTAATAGAAACAACGATCTCCTTCAGCTTCGGCTCGTCAACGCAGAATATACCCAAATGGCCCAAACAGAATTAGACTATCAGAGCACCGGAGAAACAGAATCAAAGGAGGACTGCCGGAGGTTGTTCATGCGCTTTCACCCTGAATGACACTGCCCCATCATTGTAGAAAGGGAAAACACATGATGCCTTGGAACAAGTTCCAATATGCGTCATTCGACTTGAGGCATCATCAAGCATCAGCGCAACATGACGAATTTTGGCGGCTGCATCCCTCTGTCACTGCACGAACGGACTTCCCAAAGACGTCGGTGGCCGTACCGTGTGGCCCGTGAAAGGGGGACCTGGGGCATTTCTGAGCAAGCAGATCACTTGTTGGCGCGGCATCATGGGCGATTCGATCAAGGCCCTGCTCGATCATGGTGAAGTTGGAAGTTCTGGCGTTGTGCGATCAGTAAGCCAAACCTCGATTTCAACAAAGGCTATAGCTCGATGGCGATCAGGAACAACCCACGAGCGGATTGTGGATGGCCCAGGGCGTGCGTCACTTATACCGGCTCCACACCCCCGGCTCGCAATAGCTCCGACCACCAGAACTTGACCCAGAAACTCCGTTTTAGTTAATCCACAACCACCTGGCTACCGACGAGCGTTGCCATTTGTAGAAGAAGCTCAACTTCAACCCTGACCATCCGTCTGTCACGCTTCTTTTGGCTGGTTGATGTGCACCGTCTCGGCGAGTTTCGAAAATCTTTAAGCCAGCTGCAGAGGAGGATGGGGAGACCACAACCAAGAGCGTGACATTCTCACCCCATCACGCAGTCATCCCGTATCGTACCGTACGGGAGGCCACGACCGTTTCACGAATTGGGATCGAGATCTTACCCGTTACAGTTTCTGAGTTGCTGCGCTACCGACATGCTCCTGAGTTCGAGGGCTGGCTAGGCTGGCAAAAGCCTGGTGTGGACGGGTGACGCACCTAGCCAATGGCTGTCATCCTGCCGTGTCGGGGCAAATCAATCAATCAAATTGACGGTTGATCGTCATGCCCAATTGCCTCTTTCTGAATAGAGGATGCGATGCGCCAAACCCCATAACAGGCCTGCCCGCGTCCTTGGAACATCATGATGGGACCGTTCGCTCTGTGGAACATCAAACAAACACCAGCAGCATCAGTATTAGTATCAGCAGGAGCAACAATGGTGTGCATCTTTTCGATGAGTGTCGATTTCCTTCCGACTTTCGATTTGGTGCTACCATCTCAAGCACCGTGTCGCATTTTCCTCTTCAACACATCCTTCCATCCATTCATGGATGGCTCTGCTAGAACTTATTGTCACGGGTACCAGTAGCGTTGCGTTGTGTTGCGTTGAAGCGACATCAATATGCCCATGGTCCCAGATATCGTTCATGAATGCGTCAATTGGACCAAGTTGGGGCATCTCGATGTTGTCCAGGTGCCGCCCTATCGTATACGTAGCCGATGACAGGGCCTTGGGGCTCCACGCTTCTTGTTTTCGACCCATCTCGAGTCTGAATTGCATTTCTGTTTGTTTTTAGCAATGTTGGTGCCAATTGTCCATAACTCCCAAGACCCGATATGACGGATGATGGACAATGATGATAATGCTCCGATGTGAAATCAGCCCTTGCATCATTCATCGTTCTCGAACGTCAAAACTTGATACGCTGTATAACAGAAAAAGAAAGAGGCAGCGGATCAACAGCCAACCCAGAATTTAAGAGGCAAGCGTGCCAAGGCTGTGTGCCCTTGACGGAAGATTGTAGACGTACACCCTTCTTCCATACACGTCCACGCCCCCTTCAGGTTGAGTTGTGAACTGACTGGGCTAGACCATGTCCTTCTAGTTCTCTTGGAGCCTCTGAGCAGCAAGACCACCCCCCGAAGCGAGTGACATGTAGAAATCTGATGTTTCTGCTCTTTTTCTGCCACTCGAACTCTCACGATTCTATCATCGCTTCCGAAACCCTGCTTTGCCTATTCACGTTCAACTAATCGTGTTCATTCTTTTGCCAGTGGCTGCGGCACCTCCGGCTCTGCCCCATTTTCCCCTGGACCCTGTCTCTACCTCCATCTACATACAGCATCTGGATCCCACGATGCCCTGAACAAGAATCCCCCATCCCAATATTGGCTCTAACACCAGCTCCCCACAGAGCAACTCATCTTTGACCTATCTTTCTTCGACAGCCCTCACACCCCCTCCCGTACGTCCACGACTGAAGTCCCGTCCCTACAGTCTAATTCTTATATTCGTTCTGCTTTGCCTTGCCTGTCTTTTGACTCTCACCCTCGCGCACACGCCAACAAGAGCCTAGGTCCAGAACATTTGATCCTCAACCGACCTGCAGCCAAACCTAACCCGGGGCCTGTCCCCTTGGATCTGTCACCTCACAGTCGCCTCACAAGTTTCAGTCCGAAGATCACCTGCCAATCCACGTCTCGTCACTATCCTCGACATCTATCCCAGACGAGGTCTTGCGCCGCTGACAGACCGTGAGCTTTCATTCTTCCCTCATCGTGGTTGGACACAATACCCTTCCCTCAATCCACTACAGCACAGCACTTGCTCTTTGCAATCGAGATATCCGATTCGGCTTGTTGTCTCTGGGGGTGCTCGTAACTGCACTTCACTCCCTCTCGAACTCATCCCATCTACTTGCTGGCCCTCTGTTGTTTGCTTTTCCTTCGACTGTCCAGCATCTGCCTCAGAAAACTCTTTCTGCTCATCGTTGTGGCTTGTCAATTGGTAAAGGATAACAATCCTTCACCATATGAGCCAACTCTTTTCTTGTCCAAGGTCCGCTGCTCACCAATTCTCCGGCCCAATACCATTACATCTTGTTTGTACGTGCCTCCTATTTCTTTCGTCATTCTCCTACACCCCCTCCCCATACCCTCTGTACGTTCACCAAGGACTTTATGCCCTTCAACCCAATCATCATACCCTATTCCTCTCGATCCCTGAGTTTATCACTCCTGTGTTGCCTAAGATCTCCGTTGCACGTCCAAACATCCTCACTCATCACACTTCGTCGACCACTAAACCGGAAGATCCAAAGCCTCATCCGCGTATTCAGAAACTTTTCGAATATAGCATAACCTCTTCATAAGTTCTTGACACTCCTAGATTCTTGCCTAACATCAATCTCACAATAGCTCCTTGTTGAGCCACCAAGCTTGAACCAACATCGTCAGTTCATCAAAGCTCAGTGCCAAACCCCGCGTTTCAAAACCCACTCATTTTCAGTTATATCCATCCATCAACACAACCAACCAATAAGAAAGACCATCAAAGGCCTCATATCAGTGGTAAACACATTTGTATGAAAGACGAAACCGGACATAATACCAGACGTACACTGGGCACACCCTTGACGCATTGAATTGGCCGGATCACTTGATACCTTTGTTCCTCATCAAATTGTAACGCAACCTGGCAACTTGTACCTGGGACGAAACTGAATCGCCACACTGGCACCAATTAATTCGAAAAAACTGTTTGTCTTTGGAGGGAGGTTCCCCGGAACTTTCCAGCTGGGCTATATGTCTCCCGATCTTGAGTCAATTTTTGCCGAGTTGGGATTGTCCCAGTATCTTGGTGCATTCGTTGAGCAAGGTTTCGATGAGTGGGATATCATTCTTGACATCCAGGAGTCAGATCTGTATGTTTCCTTCTTACTGGACTGATTAACCACAACCACTAACAGCCTTTTTCAGAGATGCCTTGGGTGTCAAGCTAGGCCACCGGAGGGTATGGTTCCTGTCAACGCCTACTAAGGCAGCTGCTAACGCGATTTCTTTAGAAGCTCCAGAGAAGGATAGCTAATGCCAGAGGCATCTCCCCATCGGTGTCATTGGTAACCCCTGTCAGGCCAACCAGCGAGGATGCAAAATCGGATAGTGTGCAGCCTGAGCCAACTCGGACGGAACTACCGCCCGAAGGACATGGTGTTGCCAAACGAAAGTATCGGCGTCACCCTAAGGTGAGTTAAAACTTTGCATTTCTCAAGTGGCGACTTGATGACTAACAAGGCATCAGCCTGACGAGAATGCCCCTGAGAGGCCCCCGTCAGCATATGTATTGTTTTCCAACAGTGAGTTGTGCCCTGACATGCGCTCGTTGTTCATGAAGACTTACTGACAAACGATGAAAAGAAATGAGGGAAGACTTGAAAAGCCAAAATCTCACGTTCACAGAAATTGCAAAACTCGTCGGAGAGAATTGGCAGAACCTGAATGCAAGCGAAAAGGAGGCATATGAAAGCCAAGCAAATGCCGATAAGGAGAAGTACCACCGTGACTTGATGGAATATAAGAAAACGGCCGACTATCGGAAGTATATGCAATATCTTCACGAGTTCAAGGAGAAGCAGGCCAAACGTACTCAAGGTTTGTAGCTGGATGGCATTAAATCCATCACACGTTGACATAGCAGTATAACTGACATCCCGCCGTTGACTAGCCGATGTCTCCAAAAGGACAAAATTGGATCCCGTTCGTTTACGACACAGCAGCAGCAGCAGCAGCACCATGACACCGGGAGGGAACACTTCGAGCGGCAGTGGTAGCGAGAGGTTACAGGGTAGTGAGCCACCACCTTGTGGGCGGGAAAGGTTGAATTCGATTGCATCGATAGCTGAATCGCAGCATTCATCGACTACGCCAACTCTGTTATCCCAGGCAAATTCGAACGACGAGACCATGTCTTCACCCCAGGCCGCTCACTTCGATGCTGGAAGCCCCCGGGAACCTCATTACCAGGCTCCCAAGCGCCAGCAGTCCTGGCGAGAAGGGGGTCGGGGAGTAGAAGTTTCACACCAACATCTACCCTCGTTATCCAACATGCTCGAAGATGGAAGGAGAGGGATGCCAATTGCATCTGGGTCGGAAGGTAATCCTTATTCGAGTGGTTTTGTTGCCGCGAACCATCCTAGGTCGGTACCCGAAGTCCCCAATGTGCTTCCATCAGCGCCACCCAAGCCCCCTCTCCTCCGGCACGAACCATCTTCCAGCAGCAGTATTGGTTCAGTGAGTCCAGCGGGGGGCTTTGCACGGACTCCCGGCGAAGGACCTCTCCCAATCCACGCTCTCCTTTCCCACCACCAGACACTGCCGACACCAGTTGTTGCTGCCAACGCGGCAATGTTCGAACGAGGTTCTCCTGTTTCCGGGTTGGGTACTGGTACGACGACCCCGAGCCCAACAGACCCTATGCCACTCGCAAGGCCATATTTTGGCCATGGCGTCGTGCCTAGGGGATATGGTACTTGAATCTGTGGAGGCTTCGTTAAGAAGTCCAAGCTAACTCGGCTTTCAAGGCTCTCGACCGTTGCCACCCACTGGCCCTCCAGCCAGGAATGGCGAATATATGGTGGACAACGATGTGCCAATGACACCGGCACCTGATCTAATGGCCCCAATCGAGGATCGGTCCTTCAGGACTCGCCTCGACGGCATGAGCGTCTTGCTAAGAGCCGGCGAGCTTGTCGAAAAACACGAACGAGACGAACGACGATGAAGGGTGGTGACGATGAAATTATGCTCGTAGCATATTGTTACCGTATTCGACACCAAAACGCATGTGTCGAGATGCAACTTGCTCGCCCCTGAGGACCCCTTTTGTTTCTTATCTTATCCGATACCCACGCATAATGATGTCAAGTCTTTTCCATTTCATGATTCGGTCTTCAGGTGGATGGTGGTACACGTGGACGAGTGCTTATAATGGCTGCTGTGGTAATATCGGGTCGCGCAATCGCGGTTCTGGCGTTAGGTGCTTTGACTTTGGGTTGGAAAGAGGTTTGAAAGGGTCCAAAAAGTAGCATTCGGAAGTCATGAGGAACTTGACTGGTATATAGTTGCAGGGTTATCAACGTTTGTAACTGGATTATTCGAGGGCACATACTCTGTTGTTTTTTAGTGTGCAATGAATTAGGTATTACAAGAAAATGATCAGGAGTTGAGTATGGAAACGTACGGCAGTAACAATGCCAATTCATGACATGTTATATATATATATGAGTGAGTAGTGCGTGTCTACATCGGGGAACAAGATTGGTGTGCTGATTCGAGGGATTTGGCAGGAGTAAGACCACCACCAGATCATTGCGGCGAGAGAGGGCCAGTCCCGGGATCTTGGTAATTCGGAAGACAAGGGAGGTTGTCGATTGATGTGTATTGTATAAGGTACCTATGCTACAGACATATAGGAGTTGTGGCTGGATAGGTACCTAGGTAGCTGCTATCTACGTGTGTAGTAGTAAATCGAAGCAATAGGTACCTAAGTACCTTAGGTGGGCGACATAGTAAGGTAGGTTATGAGGAGAAGTCAAAGACGAGAAAAAAGGAGAAGGATGAACAAAAATGAAAAGAACGAGACGATCTCAAGGGTCCTTCCTTATTCAGACTTATCTACCTCCGGAAAGTTGCTTTGTTCTTGTTCTCTCGTCTGCTTTGGCCCCCCCCACAATTAATCAACATCGTCATAAGGGTCCAGTTTGTAACCCGTTTCAACGTCATGGCGCAGCCACAAAAGCCTATGAGTTGGTCAGAGACCAGGATACTGGGGTACGTACTTGACTCGATGGCTCCACCCTGTCAGACCTGGGCGTCTACCCCAGGTACCGTAAAATACAGATCTTGAGTAGGAGTTTATCTGTTTTACCTGTACAAATGGCAAAGCAATCAGGATCTGATCTTGAGCATATGAGCTGGAATCTTTCTCTCTAGGTACTGGGGTTCCTATATGAGTTGGTTTGCAATACCATGTCTCTGCAATCCTCAGTACTTACTTACCCAGATAATAGGGCTTGTACGGCTAATCAATTCCCTTTAGCCATAGGAATTGGAAGTATTCACGTATTGTATTATATTAGATTAGATAATAGAATGATTAATTTTATAGCATTGGTATTCTAGCAGCTGCGAGATTAGGAAATGGATGCCAAGTCATGTTACCATTGACCAAGTACTAACATTGAGAAAACTTGGATGTGAACTAAGAGACCACAAACGCTCACTCACTCAAAAATTCAAACTTGCTTTCTTCATATCTGCAATAAAATGGAATGAACCCCGCGAAAAGAGGCTGCAAATGAGGATCTTCCAGTCGGCATCCACATGGTGCAAAGCAAAACTCATGAGTATGATCAGTTAATCATTCCTTCGTGTCCTTCATTCAAAACAAGTACTCTAGATGTTGTTGCTGTTGACTTCTCCCCCCCCAACGCCAGGATATCACATTATCTTCCATGCCATACCATGCATTGCTAGGTGTCTCTTGAACGACTCCGTAAGCATCTCATGCATGACTCGTCAAACAAACAAATACATGGCCACTTCATAATATACTCAAGACAAGTGGTTACATAGTTCAAAACCGCTCCCGCTATTCACCCTCGACAATCTCCGCCGACCAATCCCTGCGGATCTCAAGTTCCGACAGGCCAGGTGTGTTGTCAATCACAAGACCCTTCTCATTGGCCAAGTGCAGAAGGCAGATAAAGCAGAATGAGGTTGAAATATCATCCATCACCGGCTTGGGATATACGGTCTGCAGATTGTTCATGATCTCTGTGAACTTGAGCGTCTCTTCTTGCTTAGGTTCGCTGACATCCACTGCTTGGGACTCAGGTTGTTTCTGCAGTTAGATGTGTTAGCATAATGCCACGTCGTCGTTTTGGACTGTGCAGGATAACTTACTTGAAGAATGTCAACATCCATGCCCTTCCACAACTCTTCCTTCAACCTTCGCACATCCACCTTCTTGGCTACCCTAGCATATTGCACATACTCGGGTCGTACGCGCCTCGTTTGGGTGACCAGTGTCGTTCCAAATGCTCCAGTATTAGTTACTGTCTCTCCATTAAGCAGAGCCGTGAGCCCTCCGCCATCAGTGAGTCCAGCTTGCCCGTCAAGCCCTGGTGAGAAGTGCTCTCTTGCGTCCGCAAATTCTAGATCGTCATCGTCGTCCAAGTCACCACCACCGGGGAATGGCATGCCATCGTCCTGGAAGAAGTTGGCATCATAATCGCCTTCAGGCAACACTGTCTCATCCGTATGTTGCGGAGCCTTTTGGTTGGCCCAGAATGCTTCGTCCATTTCACCATCAGGTTGAATATCTGCCCCGGCATTACCAAAGCCACCCCCACCACGAGAGCTGAAACCTGTGCGTCGTTTGCCCATCCGTGCCTTTGGCTTGAGGAACAGGCTTAGTAGAGACTTGGAGTTAAAGTGCTTGTCGTCGGGCAGAAGATTGCGTGACTTGGACTTCCAATCCTTCTTGGGCATGCTAATGGCCGAATTGTTGGTGGCTTGTGTATGAATGATATCCGAAGTGTGTGAATCCAGCGGTGCGGCAAAATCGATTTCAAAGGGCTCTTTCTCTTTGCGCTTCTTTGTCTCTGTTGCCGGCTTACTCACATCCTTGATCTTCCTTATCCTCCAGTGCTCCGCGCTCGCCCAATTCTTTTGCAACGCCTGGTCGAAAAACCCAAGGATGTCCTCGTGCATCTTGTCCGCCTTCTGCGCGCTCGTCATTGAAACAACGTATTCACCGTTGCCGTCGATCTCATCCCCCTCACCACCCTCTTCACCAGGGCCAGCGTCGTACACTCGCATCTGTGGCTCCAGGGCGGCTTCTCTAGCCCAAGCCTCGCCGCCCTCACCAAAAGCAACATTATCAGCGGCATCGAAGGCTCCCAGGGCGAGGTCATCATCATCGAAGCCTGCTGCTTCGTCACCATCGATTACGAGACCGGAAAAGTCACCAAGCGCTCCCGGGGTCTTTTCCATGTCCTGGTCCTGTCTCCAATCGTCGGGTGCCTTCAGGAATGGAATATCCATGGATCCCGAAGGATCGCCAAGATCAAACGTCTTGAGAGAAGGACAAACATCAAGCTCGTCGAGTCGGTGCAAGTCGGGGATGAACTTGGCACCGAGAACCCCAACATCGATTTCGACGTCGTCGGCTTCTTCCTCATCTTCCAGATCCTCCTCCTCCGGATCGTTCTCGGCCTCCTCGTCCTCTCCGTCGCCCTCTACATCGCCGGTCTTCGTCTTTCCAAGGGTGGTGGCATCGCCATTATCGTCGCTACTGTCAAAGACGATACGTCCTTGTGAATCGATCATTAGATGGTTTAGAAGAAGACCCTTGGCGCCGCCCTCATCAAAATCGGCGGATGCCTTTTTGAACAAGGGATCGACTGCGAATTCAAGCTCAAACTTTTTGAGCTGCAGCGAATTGAAGGAGGGGGCAAGGGTTGCTTCAGATGATCGTTGTGTCTAGTAAATGTTAGTTTGAACCTTTGGGGAGTGTCCGGATGTCTGCTATACCTTCTTCTTGGGCTTCTTTTTTACGTTACCATCCTCATCTAGTTCTTCTTCGTCGCTCTCGTCGGCATCCTCGCCATCTTTGTCTTTCTTCTTGGCGGTGTTGCTATCGGCGAGGCCACTCAATAGCTTCCCTGTTTCCGTTGCGACGCTGTCCACACGGTTGGTGTAGATCTTGACGCATCCGTCCAACGTACAGCTGGCCTTTTGGAAGTTCACACCGTCGCCTTCCTTGAGGAGTGACATATCGTGAAAGTAGTCTATGAGAGCGAAGTTCCATGAATTTGTGGCGTTGATTTTGTTGTCGGTGGCCATCTTCATCCATTCTTCGAAATTGGCGAGGAGCGGCACACGCTTCATAGGCGTGACCGCAGAGCCTCCGACCACAAAGCCCTCGTCATCTTCGATATTGCTGGCGCGGCCGCCGCGGGGAGTTTGGGGATCACCGTTCTCCATGTCGTCAAGGCGAAGGCCAACCTTGCGAGGAGTTGCGGCCTTCTTGATCTCGTTAAATTGTCTTTCGTGGAGAGCTCTCCTGGAGCTCATGCGCTGGCCCTTCTCTGACACATCGTCGTTGAGGGGGATTCTGGATAGTTGCATTAGCACACCGCAGTTGTTGCTGGGGAATCGATGACTGACTTGACGGGTGACTGCGTTATGAATGGTGAGGCCGTTCTAGAGCCTGTGTTGTTCCTGGCACTCCCCGTCCGGGGGACTTGAGCAACTCGAGGCATTTTCGATTTGTTTGTGTGGGTTTTGGGGGGATAAAAAGGGCGTGTTTGGACGAGGCCTATCGCGTTGTCGTCGTCGTGTTGCGGGACCCCCTGGCCAAAGTAAACAAAATAAATGCCAACTGCTATGGAGGTAGCACGAGGGGCGGGCGGTGTGTGGGGTAACCTCAATGGTATGTTATTGTTTAGCCTTAGGCCCCAACTGTGGCTGGAGGTGACAGCCACAGCCCAAAGAGGCACGGAGGTACGGATATGTACTCTCCGTCTGAAACGGAACATCACGGACAACAGACGCTGCCAAGGCAGGAACAGTCCAAACAACCCAATGGTAACTTACCCCTGCCCATGCCCATGCACCTAAGTTATCCCGTCTGATCACCAAGTTTGCAGTAAGCACGTGGCGCAACCTAACCTAAAGCAAGCACGTTGGAGATGAGAAGCTTAACCAAGAGACCCG